ACCCCAAGCCATGGGGTTCAAAAGTCTGATAAACAGAAAACATAATTCTCAAACAAAAGAAATTGGATTATAAAGCAGGCAAGGATTTTTTAAAAATAGAAACATGTATCCAAATAAGAATCCAAAGGAGTATTCTGAGAGTGTGACCAACCTTTTCCAAGCCACAGATGTCTGCAATAGATTTAGTACCTGACATTACAGAAGTCTTAACAAACCATGCCTTCAATAGAGTGCTGTTTCTGTCAACTAAGTGTAGGCATGGCTATTTGTATGTGTGTTAAGCAGATTTCTCTTACATGTGCAAAATGGTGGGTTCACAGACAGACAGACAGACTTCACTTATTTGTTTGTTCCTTCCTTCATCATTTGACACTTTGTTTACTCACTACCCACAAAGCGGCAAGCTCTGTACTCTTTTAGGAAATGAAAGCTGAGTGAGACCCAGTTTCTCCTATAAGGATCTCTTAGTTTCCTGTGTATTTAGTCATGTCAGCTAGCACCTACAGTTCAAATGACAAGCCCAGTAATGGAGGCATGTGCTTGGAACATTGAAAAGGAGATTTAACTATGTTAGGAGTCAGGAAAAGCTTCACAGGGGTCACTTTTCTGAACTGAGCAAAGAAGGAAAGAAAGAGCCACTTGGGTCAACAGTCAGGCATTGAGAGTACAATAGAAAGCAAGTGCCAGGAAGATATGTGAGAGGATAGAGTGTTCTAATAACATCTGGTACTTGGGTATGCCATGCCTAGGTTACATGATGTGAGTGGGGGCGGGGAGGTAAAAAGTAGATGGGTAGAGAGAGGACTGTTTAGAGATGAAACTAGAAAGACAGCAGGGGAAGATAGTCAATAATTTTGTTTTGTTAAGAACAATAAGCCCTTTCAATCTCCAACTGTGTTATGCTCTGGGCAATCTGTACATTTTCTCATTAAGTATCACAGAATTTCTTCAAGGTTGAAAACTCTTCTAGTTATTTAATGATTTTAGAGAGAGGAAAATGAAGTCCATATAAGTTTGGTAACTTCTTCAATACCTAAATCATTCACAGTGGTAGGACTCAGATTCTTGAAGGAGAGCCTGTTTTCTTTCTGTTGCATCACACGGGCACCCTGCTCAGGCACACAGGTTTGCTCTGTGTACAGTTAGCGCCTTGGAATCAGGGGACACTAGAGTATATGCTCGTGCTCATTATAACAACATACTATAAGTCAGGGAGAGGAGCTGAGAGAGGAGGGCACGAAAGCATTATGTAAGAAAATCAGGTACACGTTGACGAGGTCTTGGATTAGAGGACCACATGGGTATGAAGGGAATTCAGGGGCAGGGAGTGATGGTAGTGATGGATCAATGAATCTAAGTTAGGGTGTGAGGGGAATTGGCTACTAGAAGGTAATGAGATCTTTGAATTGTTGATAAAATGTCTGCCTTTCATTTCCTGGTAAGAATTTTGTGCTTCTTTCTCCAACTGTGACACAGTTCATATGAGACTGAAGGATGAGGGGAAATTCTACAAAGTTCTAATATCTTGCTACAACTCTCTCCAGGCTACTTAGAGTCCCTTTCCATCACTTTGAATTGCATTAGATACCAGCTTCATAAATGAACCTTTTCACTCTGTTAATGGAAAGCCATCATCTTCTCCTGGATGCTCCCTCCAGACACTGTACCCCTGTGATCTGCCACTTTTTCTTTTCTTCAGTTAATTTCCATCATGCTCCTTGTGTGCCATGACTAGTCCTCGGCAATCTCTCTAGAATGGCAAGCTCTTCTTAAGAGTCCACTTCACCTGCTTTGATTTAACTACAGCCTCGCTTCCCCAGGGAAGTAGTTTCCTCTGCATCCTTCTCTAGTGGTGGCTGCTGCTTTCTCACCTCTGATACTCTTGAGCATGGACACGAGGCAGATCCCACGCTGCATTTCCTTATTGTCTAGCCATCTCTGGCTCCTGGAAGCCAGCGTCATCTGCACTGTGCCCTACTCCTACTGTCTCTGCTTGATATTTATTTCTTGCTACACGTCTTGGCTCACTGAGGATTTACAGCAGTGGACAATTGTTACCAGCAGAAGCCTGTACCGTTCCTACTGACTTCTGCTCCCATATGTCCAATCATTTAACTTTTGCTCCTCTTAGATACTTGCTGCCATACCTTGCTTCCTCAGAGTTGTAATCTCATCTTAGTCAATACGCCCCTGCTATGGCCTAGACTTTACTGCAAACTGCATTTCCTCTATGACTGCTACAAAAAAAAAAAAAAAATCACACCACACTTCCTCCAGTCCCTTCCCTCTAACACATCAGCTCTCATCCTGGGGTTCAAGTGACCCTTCCAATGGGGCTTGCATTTCAGATAGCCTGCATAGCAGATATTTACAATACAATTCATAACCATAGCAAAATTATAGTTATGAAGTAGCAACGAAAAATGGTTGGGGGGGTCACCCCAATATGGGGGACTGTGCTAAATGGTCACAGCATCAGGAAGGTTGAGAAAGAACTATTTATCATCAAACTGAGACTTTCAATCTTTGGACTTGACCTACATTTTATCATACTTAACTTTTTCTTTCAATGATTGGCTTAGAATCCTAAATCTACAGCATATGCCCCGGTATATAATCTTAATTCCTTTGCCTTTTTCTTTCATCTTGTCCACACATGCACCTTGATTAAATCCATCTTTCCATCCAATACATACCTGCTGGTATGCAGAACAATGAATAGAGCTTAAAAAATGCACCCAGCTACAGTAGTTCATTTCACGTATTTGTGACCATGAATATCATGTGGTCTCTAGTGCTGCCCTTGAGTCTACTCTGTGTTGCCACTCAAGTGACATTCCTTCCTCCCTGCCTCTGAAGTGACCAGGTCACACATTTTCCACAACAGTTTCTTATTCCTTTTAACCAAAGCTTTTGCTTCTTGTTTAGCTGAGGAAACAGAACCAATCAGAGAAGAAAAGAACACATCTTCCGGCCACCACATCCCACCATCCTTCAATAGGTATCCTCATACATACTACATTGCCCCTGACACAAAGAATGGAGTGATTCTTTGTAAGGCTCATTTCTTCATTGGCACATAAATGTCAACACTTTTCATTTATGGATCATGCCCTGAAGTTATCTTCTCTTTCTCCTGCTTCATCACTCTATTGCTTTCTACCAAATTATTCTTCCTACCTACCAGTAAGCTAGAATATCTTTCATCATGAAAACAGAAATCATTTTCTAGACTCCACTTCACTTACCATTAAGTACCCATTCTTCTGATTTCCTTTACTGCAAAAACATGGTTCCTATTCACAACCAATGCTAACTGCCCACATGAATGCATGCCTGTACCAGATCATGACTTCTTTCCTAATCCTTGGTGTTTATGCCCAATATCCTATCAGATTTTTTTTCCTTAGATGTCTAATAGGAAAGTCAGCCCCACATGTCTGTATCTAAAACAAACTCTTCCATTTTCTCCCCGGCTCTGTACAATGTCATTCTTTTCAGTAAATAGAATCGCTATTCACTTGACTGCTCAGACCAAATATCTTGAATCTAATTTTGATTTCTTTATTCTAATCCATTACCTCACCCTGTGGGTTTTGCCTCTCTACCATCAGACTGTATGTGCTACCATCTTTATCCAAGGCATGGTAATATCTCACTGTACCTACCACATTGCCCTTGGACACTATCCTGGCCTCTAGCACCACCCTTTCCTGTTCCCATAACTAATAAGGTGCTAGTGATCTGGCCCTGCAGCTTTCCTGGCTTTGTTTCTCATTTCACTACCTTGCTGACTCCATACCAGTACACTTCCTTCCTTTTCACTGGGGGCCCTGCTCAGCACAATCCCCCTTTACGGCATGTGTGCTTGCTTTCTGGAATACTTTTGCTCACAATACACAAATCACTCACTTCACTTAGGCTCCTCCTGAAGTGACATTCCTTTAGCCCCATCACACCCTGTCCTCTTACTTAGTTTCATTTCTCATACCATCCTTTCACATTGTCTTTGTATTTATTTGCAGGTCCACTATTTGAACACAAGCTTCATGAGTGTAGAGACTACTACAATAGTATCTTATAGGAGCTGAGTACTTAAGATATACTTACTGAGTAAACTGATGAGTAAACAAAATCCCCTTGCTGTTTTCTGATGATACAAAAGTAGAACATAGATTTGACGTCTATAGACTACTTTAATTTTATACTTAGAATTTTAAAACTCCAGCATTCCCAAAAGTATTGTTAGTCATCCATTAACCAAAGGACCCTTAGTAGAAACGTTCTACAGGTTAATTAGAGCTGCCAGGAGGGGGTGTGGAGAGCATAGCTATTAAAGTCACAGTAACTATGGATCCCTTAAAGACATGCATGTGATCAGGAGATTCTGCCATGCTCCTGCTAGAACTCTTCCTTTGCCTTGTATTAACGTTCCTTTTTGTGGCCATGCCAACCAGCTCCAGCCTACGTCAGAACCTTGTCTTGTATCATGTCTTCATAGTGTATCTCTTTTCCCCTCCGCCCTCACAGGACTCTTCTCGGCACTTCAATGGGCACTAACCTACTTCCTGACTTGGGCCTTAGCACTTAGAGTTAACTTTTTTTTTTTTTTAATTGAAACAGCCTTCCTCAGTTCTACATGATCAGGCTGGTCTTCTTTCAGGTCTGAGCCTCTCAGGATAAACCTTAAAGTTCCCTTCCTGACCAATCTAACTAATGCTAGCTGCTCCCTCTCCCACACCCTAGAAAATGTATATCTTGTTTTTAAATGGCTGTCTGAAATCACCTTCTCTTACTCAGTAGCTCAACCCCACCAAGATGCAGTCACACATATCTTTGGCAACAGCTAATCGGTCGGCTGGCTAGATGCTCCTTCAGAGGGTGGGTGATGCAACCATTTGTAAGGACTGGCTGAGATGCCACCAGAAAGCAACTGTTTCCTTTTGCTCAGTGTGGCCTGGCTGCCCTGGAGCTGGCAGAGGATTTGGCTACCCCTTTACCTTAATCGCCCCTGTGGCTATCTGGATGTGGTGCAGTCGGCGGAGTGTGCTCTCTCTGTCAATGAAATAGGAAGCTGCCAGCTGGTGCAGGGTTTCCAGGGACACAGCAGAGCTGTTCCCACTGCCCCCAACTACAGGGGCACCTCCTGATGTTTCTGCCTTTCTGCTCAGTTTCCTCTTGTCCACAAAAATGGTCAGGGATTCTTCTCCTATAACAAAAACATGAGCTCATTAGTGAGGTTGTCAGTTCCAGGTTCCCCGGCCATTAAGAACCTATAGCCCTCTGGCAGGACAGACCTAGCTAAGAGAGAACACCGCCCCTGCTGTGGGCCTCTCCCCATCATTTACACTTTGAGAGCTCTCTCCTCAGACTGTGCACAGGGTCACAGGGCCTCCCTGCCTGGAAGGCCCTCCTTTCCCTAGCTCTTAAAGCTTCCTAAAGCTCACACCCCTCAGCAGTGTCTCCATTTAACATTCTCTATTGATCTCCATCGCAGGCAATCTGCCTCCAAGGGGGAGACACAATTCTCCCCTCTCAGGTTGTTTATGAGAAGCCACATGGCTATTATTGCTTCCAGGAAAAGGGCAAAAGCTTTGAGGCCCTGCCTGGTCCCTCTCCATCAAACACTCACCACCTACCACATGCCGGCAGCTGGTCCCAACGCCAGGGGAGCTGCGTTTTTGTCCACTGCACACTTAACTAAATGTTATGATAAACCCTGCTTTCTTCTTCCTATATCTGGGAGAACTCTTTATCCTCGGGTCAAGTCTCCCCTCCACTGTGCACAGCCCAGTCCCTACCCCATTCTACCAGAGGGAGATCCACCAAGCTGTTGGAATTGTGATTTGGCTGGTCACCAATCCTCACAGTGAGAAGGGGGGAGGGGTCAGTGACTCAATGAACATCTATCTATTTCTGTGCCTATAAATGTGACATTTGTAGCCACAGTAAGAATTAAGAAGTGGAGAAGTCCCTGGGTTAAATGGCTAGTCAAAATAAAAGTAGGAGCGCCCCCTGCTGGTACATGCTTAGTAGAAACCCGTGTGTCCCCCCAGTCTCCTTACCCCATACCCCCTTCCCCTCATGATGTCACTTTCAAGAGAATAAAAATGTTCTAGGGTGGTTTCGGGTGCAGAGAGAATACACTGTTCTTCGATAGGCCAAAAAGGAAAAAAGATGCAGGGAGAATGATATCAATAGATCATAAAAGCTATTTCAGCAATGAACAACCAGTTGGCTGGGGCCGAGGATGCTGCTTACCTCCAAGAGTGGCAGAAAGTAAGAAATGAGTGCCGTACTTTTTGATGAGGTTTTCAGTAACCTGTTGCAGGTTGGGTCTCCTTCCGAGGAGGCGGATGTTTCGGACAAACTCTGGGGCGAGAGGCAGAGGCAAACTGAAGAAGTCTTTCCTTTCTAGGGCCAAGTTGTTCACTTTCCATCGAGCAAACTCCCTGCAGGGAAAGCCACTGTATTTCAGAACAAGAAGTGTGAAGCCTGAAAGAGATAAGGTCGTTCCTCTGCTCAAGGCCTCCTCTCCTCAAGTCCCCTTCTCACAGGGTGGCGAGTTCCAGTCTGAAAAGCTGACCTCCACCAGAGCATCTCCCACCCAGCTTTCCCATTGGACAGTGGTAGCTCAGTGTCTTCCCAAGGCAGTCGCCATGGCTCACAGAGAAGCAGAAAAAGCACAGGCTGGGCACTGGGCAGTGATTTTTAGAGAACTGATCCTGTCACAGCTGTCACACAGCCGATGAGTTATATCATCCATCTTAGCTTCAGTTGCTCACTGCTAAAAACTGGAAGGAGGATCTAGAGAGAACAATGTTTTAACATTTGGGGCTCAGATCCCTTCGTAACCCTGGAGATAATTACATTCGCCTACTTGATTATGTGGCTCATATTGATTGATACGACATCAGAAATTAAAACTGGGAAGATTGAAGTTATCTATCCAGCATTGCATTTGAAGTTAACAGTAATAAACCAAATGCATAACACATAACCAAATCAATGCATTTTATGACAATAACTATAGGTAGTGAACAAAACAAATTTGACAAGAAGAGCACATTGCCTCATGACTTTGTAAATCTTTCAAATCTGCTTGACAGGATAGTTTCATTCTCATATTTGCTTCTGCATTCAGTGTGCCATTGCAATTGTGGACTTTTATGCTTGGGGCCACACAAAACTAAAGAAATGGCTATTTCTTAAAAGTTTCTTATAGCATGGTGCCTGAAGCCATATCAATAAAATGTGTACTCTATGGCATTGAAATCTAAAGCTTTATATTGCATTTTGAACATATCTTTTTACCCTGAATGATCGGTAACAGCTTGCATTAGCTATCCTGGACGTATCTGTTCATTGATATATGCAGCTCTTTTAACATCCGGGCACTCATTGTATAGTACTAAAACATCAGACTCGTAGATACCACTAACAACTGCATCAGAAATACTTTTAAATATCAGAAAGCTGACTAGCTTATATAATAATGAATATATTTTTTTAGAATTTGAGTTTTTTATAATTTTATTTTTGCTAATAAATAACATGTTTTCCTAGTTTCTAGTTGTTTTACTAATAAATACCATCAGTTTAAAAGCTAGCTTTTTTTTTCCTTTGAGAAAACATCTGCCAAACACTTAAGTCTAAATAACTATGGGTTGTCTGATACTCTTGCTTTCAAGAAAAATAGGGCTCTAGGAAAAAAGTTGCTTGCTCAGCTTGTAGCTCAACCACATATGTATCTTCCTTTGAGAACACCACAATTCTTTAGGAGCCTCAGACATGCACCGTGTGTGCTTCCCTTTTCATCACCTGGAACATTAAAAAGACATGTATCCAAGGTCAATATTTAATGCTATTAATAAGTCATCCTGCTTTAGGACATTCTTAAGTGAGGCTGGTATATTCTGTTTCTCCTTTCTGTTTGTGTGTGTGTGTGTGGGGGAGCTATGTGTTTAGTTCATTTGTATTATGATGAACAACACATGATTACCAGATAAATTTTAGATGAGTATTTTCATTCCAATTAACACATCAGTTTTCTTTGCCTCCCTGCCTCCCAACTTTCAGTGCAAATGTCACATGGGTCCTGAAAGGAATCAAGAAGACCACACTTCAAGCAGCCTGTTTCAAAAGATATCTAGGTTTCTTTACACACATACATTCAGGACTTTATTCTTCACACATTTGAATCTCAAAGAGAAAAGGCTTCTAGGTGGAATCTTTGTCTTGAGCAGTAATTTAAATAATTCTAAGAAATCAGTTTCTCACACCCCCGCCAACCCCATATTACACTAGTAAAAACAGGTCTTCATGTCTTGGGAACCAGTAAAATGTAAAGTCTTCATAGATTCTTCACTCATTCCAATCCTGCTCACTGTAAAAGTGCATAACCTTGGTCTAACCTTTCCCTCAAAGCCAAGGAGTGCCAGTGATGGAGCTGCAGAAAATAAGTAAAAATAAATCAATGAAAACCCATACTTAATCTAAGCCTATGGAAGTCTCCCCCAACCTTATCTAATTCAAGAGGTGCAGATATAAAGGAGGAACATATGTCAAACATCACTAGCCTAACAAAGGAAAATGGTGACTAATAATTCATGGTTTCAACTTAGTCTTTCAAATTTTTCATTGTGTGGCTTTATTTATCGAACAAGGCAAGTTAATAATAATATATCATCAGTTATTTCTTTTGTGCAGGAAATGTTAAACTTTAATTAAAATACAGGGTATTTGTCAAAAGCATTTGCTATCCCAAATCCCAGTGCAGGGTAAAGAACAGTTGCCTGATCTCATTTGTAGATGGCTGGATGGGAACCAGTATCCTCTCATTGGCTAGAGGATAATTACACTGATGAATCATAAAACCAGACTACTAAAAACAGAAACAAAATATAATCAAAAGAAAACCCCTAGGGTTATCAAATCCAGACTCTCTGCCTTAGGATGAGCTACATGTAGACTTTATTAACTAATACTTTCTACCAGTTCTCTTCCTAGATTTAAGGGTGAAGAGGAAACATTCTTCTACCTTCCATGATTTCTTACAAAGGTTCAAGCCCATCACTTCCCTCGCTCATTTATTCCCTTAGACTTATTATCACCTAATATCATCTATTTTCCCTCTTCTCCTTCCATTAGAACATGAACTCTGCCAGGGTAGGATTTTCTTTCCTGCCATTAACTATCTCCAGCAGAAGAATCATATTAACCATTCTTACAACAGAACAACAGTAGATATGCAGCAGAGTTTTGTTAAGTAATTGAAGAAGACACTCTTCAAGCCCTTTAATGTCATAGCTTTCCCAATCCACTAGTTTTTTTCAAATTAATGGAAAATTGATTTTAAAATAGTTATAGGAAAATAACCTAGGAGGCAACAACCAATTAGTGATTGATCTGACATGAAATGAAACACTCAAAATGTATGTGTATCAGGAAGCTGTTTTGTTTATAAAAGTACATGAGATAATTTCATGCATTTAAAAAATATAAATCAAGCCAGGCATTGGTGGCACACGCTTTTAATCCCAGCACTTGGGAGGCAGAGGCAGACAGATCTCTGTGAGTTCGAGGTCAGCTCTATAGAGTGAGTTCCAGGACAACCTCCAAAACAATACAGAGAAACCCTGTCTCAAACACACACACACACACACACACACACACACACACACACACACACACACACATATATAATCAAGCCAGGCATGATTGTTACAACCGGCATGGTCTACAAAGGCCAGTCAGGATTACATAGCTAGACCCTATCTCAAATAAATAGTAAAATACTGCCAGCAAATTCTTTTGCTTTTGCTTTTTATACTGTCTGGGTCCTTATACACTGTCACAGACATGGACAACTTCTTGTGACTGCCTACTGTCTACATTCAAAGCCTAGTGCATGCAAAACATTCATTGTGCTTTCCACTCAGATGTTAATGATCAATAGCTCCATTCCTCTACAGTGAATCTAGTAATTTCTACCACTCATTGTGTTAAAGATTGACCAAAGAAGCAACACGCTTAGAGTTCTGCACTTTTGCTCAGTTTGACACCAGCCTTGGAAACTCTGTTTAATGCAAGTCAATAGCTAAAGAATGCTTACTTAAATGAAGAAACTGAAGCTCAGAAAGCTAAGTGATTGCCTAATGTCACACTACTAGAGATCATGTATTCTTTTATACTGCTAGAAATGGAGGGAAAGTTTGAGTGTCATCTGCCAATCTTCTCCAGAGTATGATATACACTGAGGCAGGAGGATTGCCATGGATTCTGGGGTAGGATATGCTGCAGTGTCAGATCCTGTCTCCAAGAGATGGACAAAAAGAGAGGAGAAGGAAAGGGGAGAGAAGGAAGGGAGGGAAAGAAAGAAGGGAGGAAGGAGAAAAGAAGAAATCAATTGAGGGGAGGAAAATAGTCCTGGATGAGGCTGTTCAGAGCAGGGTAAATCAGAGAAAGAAGTCCTGCCATCTTAGTACTTGCCCTGCTGTTTTTAAGACTGGAGAAGCCTTTGACTTCTCTGTGATCCCTTTGTAGCCGACCCAGCTTCCAGTAGCTAAGAAAACCATGAAACAAAGATGTCATAGCTCACCTAAAGGAATATAAGCAGCTGGTAGCAGAACCTGAGCAAAATGGTATCACAGTGACCTTCCCCAGGGTCATGGGGCCAATAGCAAGAACTGAAACCCCAAAATGTTGAATGAGGAACTTGGATGGAGTCACACAATTAGAGGGATGCCAAGCTTAAATCTCCCTGCCAGTGGTTAAGTTCAACACTACGCTGCTTTCCACAATGTTGTCTCCTTTGTGTCCCTGAAGTATGTACTCATGGTATTCCAATCCCTTTACAAAGTTAGCTGTCTTCTAACAAAAATAGTGTCATTACTAAGAACATGGTATTTCTGTAATACTACACAAAACATGAGTTTACTATATATTCAATATAGTATACCACTTATACTATGGCAAAACGTTTTTTTTTTTTGGATTAAAGTAGTTTTATGATGCTCCTTTGTAGGAGAAGAAATTGAACTTGAGAAGGAAATCAAGTTCATATACAAAGCATCATGGGAAGAATCCCAAAGACCTGAGTCCAAGTTCCATCGGTGCTCAGGAAATCCTAACACAGAACAATAAATTACCTAGAAAAGTGAATGGGATTATCTTTGAAAGCATTTTATGAACAAACAATAATGTTTAATGAATTCTTACGGTGTGCTAAGATTCCAAGTATCTTACAAGGGTCATCTATAAAATACCCCTATTAGGAGAAAAAAATTACTTTCATCCTGTGGATAATGAAATGGAGGCAGGATATTTTAATTTACCCAGCTGGTAACAGCCAGTAGGAGGCAGAATCAGAGTGGAAATATTGCTTGTTTTGACAGGACATTGACCACTGTGATATGGTACCTCTGCCTGAGAAAAGCAAAGGAGCTATTCT